GCGAATAAAGTATAAAATATTTTTTATTGATTCGATATGTCCTATGCAGTTGAAGGGTTGGATAGGAAGTATATGCATACCACTCCTCGATCAGCACTACGAATTCGGAAATACTTTATACACAGTTGCGCCGTCTGCGAGGTCCCAGTTTATCACACATCACTTCACCTCTCCACACCCGTGGCCAAACACTGCGGAAAGTGTTGGAGCTTACGATAATATTTATAACAACTGTCAGAATGCGCACTCATGATGATATGACGTATAATGGATTACGWACACTGTTACATGCAACAGGTGTCGCAAAAAACACTTCTCATCAAACAGTTGTCGGATGAGTGACCATAATCGCTGGACATATACACAATAAATTGTCGAAACGTTTTCACCCGTAATATACATATAGAAAACACTGAAAATATAACGAACAACGGGCACTCTGACGCCCATCATCGCCTCTGCTACAGTGAATCCGTACGCGTGCTGCTTTTTTTATATCGTGGTCAATAACAACGGCTATTAATATTATATTAAATGGTCTTTTGTGTGTTAGTGCGTGTGCGCGCGCTCACTCGAAGTTCGCCTCTTATCTCTATGTTTTGTACTTATAGTCGAAGAAAACAAACAGCATCATTGTCRAAAAAACAAAACACGTAAACCAGCTGTAGTGTACCTATATATATATAATAAAACACTCGTGTTCGTTCGTCTACGTCGCTGCGATAAATTTTTATTAAAAACCTCACACACGCACACACACACACACACGCACGAGCACTTACGCGATGTCTAAACATCGAATACGTCATGTATAGTCTGTTATATTACGCACACACAGCAAGTCTTAACCGCGTCCGCCATCGCGATCGATCATCGGTGCTATATAGCTCACGTAGTTATAATAACACGTGAAATGCGCGCAATAATGAGCATGCAGTGGAACCGAATGACCGGACTGACGAGGCGAAGGAGCAGGGGAATCGTCGAGATAACACCGTCACCGTGGCTTTCGAATAGGTTAGATTTATTTTCATAGGCAATACGTCATACATATATATATATATAATATATAGTGTAACATATTATTTTCATATTTATATGTTTGCAGGTATAGGTAATGAGTTAGTTTAAAACTATAACATACCTAACCTATAAAGTATAATTCATAGGTTGTACGCATAAGTATTATTATTATACACAGCCATATCCAAACTCTGAAATTTCTAATTACTATAACTGTAGTACTAGTACACTATATAGCACATTCTGTATAGTAATTAAATAAAATAATTACACAATAATACAGTATTAATGTTRATCTTGAACACATAATATAAACAGATTTATAACAGCATTTTTTGTACATTTTCTGTACATTTTTTGATCGAATTAAATTTTATTCTATAGTTAAATTCCTAATCACAATTCACAAATAATTAAGTGTATTGTGTGTTATGGTTATGCTGGAAAATAACCGAACAAAAACGGAAATTAAAAATATATATATATATCTAATAGAATTAAATTAGAAATACAAGAACGCGTTGTAATTATTAAAACTTCCATATATTTCTACAGTACCTACCTATAAAGTTTTTAAAAGATATTAAAATTCAGATTTTGGGAATCATGTATTGTATAATGATGATATCCAGAATTGATTTATGACGGAAATCAACGTTTAGGTACCTACTTTTTATACATCTACAAGAGATATTTCTCCTGAAATAGCGTATTTATTTTTATTTTTATTATTAGCTATTAGCTACCTATTGCAATCACTTAAAATCAGGGGCGRACTGGCCAGGGGGGCTAGGGGGAAATATCCCCCTGGGCCGGTCTAAATTATGAAATTTGGGCCGGTCGTCGAACAATAAACTTGTAAATTGTAATATATTTAGTCAATAAAACATTCATATTGTTTACAAAATCACAACTGATATAGTAATAATATAGTAAAATATTTAGGGGCGCTAAGTTGTATTTCCCCCTGGGCCGACTGGCCTACAACCTCCCAGTCCGCCCCTGCTTAAAATGATTACAAACTGTTGACTGATAACATTTTCAACCAGTATACCAGTAACTATAATACAATGAATTGTAAGTTTTGAGTGTTCAATGGTGTAACTAGTACCAATCATATAATATAATATACCGGTATATTACTAATTATAAATTTATAACTACGATCTTGATTTTTATAAATGATACTTGAAATATTTTCAATTACTACAACATAATACCATCATAACGAAACTCATTTAATCGCCATCAATTTTTTTATTTTGTCCTCGTTATTGGTATTAGTCACACAGTACACGGATTGATATATATGGATAAATAAATAAATAAACTATACACCTCGTTTAAAAAAAATTTAGTCGGTGAAAAAATTTAAAAAATAAGATGTGCACCGCCCGGGAATCGAACCCGGATCGCAAGAATGGGAATCTTGCATGATACCATTACACCAGCGGTGCTCTCGCCACGTCGTTTGTATACTGTATTATTTAATATACCTTTTATTGATATTTATAAGCTATAAGTAAGGAAATAGATATTAAAAAAACTGTTGAACAATATTAATATTATTACATAATATATTGTTTTTAACWTGCTATTTTCTTTAATAGTATTACCCTCGTAGACACGTGTCATGGTATAGTACAATGTTGTACAATGGATTTTTAAATCACCTACCTATACTGGCCATACTTACAAGTTTAGAAATTACATCTACTATTTTTTATTTATTGTATTATATAATAATATACTTAACTAACTTTTAA